ACAGATGTTTTTGTTGATACTATTATTATTATTGAGTCCGTAAGCGTATTTTTTCCATACATATACACATACTTTGTCAAACCATTCAGAATGCATTGAAACATCAATCAAACATAAAATTGACTAACTCAATTTTGTGGCAAAAACATAATCTTCACTTTGAAGAAGATAATAATCATAATAATTGAATAGTAATCACTGTATCAAAACCAAAAATATAAAACAAAAACTTATATTCGAGTTTCTAAATACAAAAAAAAAAACAATTTTGAATTTATGATATGTAATGCTTCATTGATTATGAATGTGAACAGGAGTTTTACAAATGGAATAAATATCCTTCAGTCATTTGTTAATTTGAAATAATTGTATCTTACATTAAGATAAAATTATTTCTCTAATTTAAGAGTTTTTTTTATTATATATTATTTATAATCATGACTAATTCTTTTTGTTCATTTCAGATGTAGTAGACGTCATGATGGAAGAATCTCAAATAAAAAGTTTGCAAAAAAATTCTATCATAGAAGTAGACAGCAAAAACCACAACCAAAACATTTTACCTGACACCAGGAATGAGCATTTAGACTATCAGAAGAACAATAGTGTGTGCAAGGACAAGGATCAACAAACCTATATGATCAAATTGTTAATGTTGATTTTAATCAGAGTAGTAAAGGAGAAAAAAGTTGAAATTATCTACTTGGGCGCAAATCAAGATAGTTCAGCATCAGTGGATTATGTGGTTTTGAGATACAAACTTTTAGGTCAAGACAAATCTAAAGATCTAATTCTACATATTGTTCAGCACAACATAGAATCAGTCAGTGCTGGACAAATTTTAGAAAACAATGGACTTTTTTCTTTGCATAAATATCTTGACAGCTTTATCCGTGTCAAACATGAGTTTACAACAAATTTTCATGAAAAGTTAGATTGGAACTCCATTGTTTATACTACTACTCCTGAAGATTTCAGTATGAAAACGAATACTGATTTAATTTATACAAATGAAGACGATTTGCTCTATTCGAGTTATGAAGGAAAAACTTTTAATTTTGATTACAGTGATGAACATCTTAAAATTTTGACAAAAACTGCATTGAAAACTGAAACTAAGTTGCTTGCTGAAAAAATAGCTCATTTTATTTTTTCCAAATCTGATAGCTATCAAAATATGCTGCTCGATAACCTGATAAAGATGTACCATGTTTTTTTAGCAAAAAGAATTATCAATGTGTTTGTAATAGAATCAGAAGATTTTTTAGTTGGAAAATTTAATGACGTATTATTTGATAGCGATGATGATTTGATGTCGATTTTCAGGAAAGTTCTGTACGACAAAGTGATACATATTGAAAAGTGTCATGTTCCAGAAACTGAACAAATAGTAAAAGATGTGATAAAAAATCCTGGACCTAAACAAATTAGTCAACTGATAGGGTCAGTACTCAGATACGATGATCGAGAAGGTAAACTTGAAATTATCACGCAAGATAATTTTTTGAAGCATTTGACACATGATTTGGATCAAGTACAAGTAAGTCTTGATGTTGTGGAAGAAGCGATTGAAATAGCAGGAAGACAAAAATTGATGAGTTATACTTTCAAATTGCCTTTAGGCTTTGGTAATTTAGACCTTGAACCTTTGGATAACGCCCGATTGAATGACGTAGTTTCAAATCTTATAAGCTTTTTACAAATTTACCATGATCCAGGAAATTTCTTTAGAATAGATGAAAATATTGTTAGCTCAGATTGTATCAACACACTAAGTGCTGATAACGTGGAGGACCTTGGACGTTTATTAGGTGATTTACTCATCCATGACGAATCTACTGATCTTCTGAAGTTCAACATGGATCAAGACGCGTTAAGTGAATATTCAAAACTGTTTTTTAACAAACTGTCTGATGAAATTCAAAATAACAATCTGGTGAGAAATAAAAACTTGAGTGACTACCGTTTCGATATTAACATAACAGCGTTCCCAAAACTTGTGTTAACTGAAGATGCATATCATCAAAATTTGGCAAAAGAATTCATGCAAAGCGTACACTTTTATACAAATCAAGCCAATGAAGAGATAATTGATCAAGTTGTTAAAGATTATATTAAAAAAATATATCTTCAAAATTATGATCATGGTTTCGACAGTGAATCTAACGCTGATGCCTTCTTCTACAGTTTTCGAGATAAAATTGAAGAATGGTGCAGTAGACGGATTGAATGTTCTAGTTTAATAAAATATTTCGATCAAATCAACGTAATAATGGATGATATGAAAAATGAATCAATATTATCAACTTTAAAGTATTTATTCCTAAATAAAATTACAAATTGTGATATTGAGTATAATGAAGCTTTCGACGACAAATTGAAGTTGGAAGACTTTGAGCTTGATTCCAGTAAACGAGTGCTGATTATTAAAACAAATGTGAAGCTGTTGACTTTACGTAAATTAGTTCAAAAGTTTGCGATGAAGACAAATATTGATTTTTTAGATTTGCATTACATGTACTCTCTAAAAGCTTCAAACGTTAACAACGCCGACCTGACCAAAGCGCTTTCAGCATGGAAAGAGAAGAAAGATGGACAAATATTAGTGATTGATTCGTTAAGTACTGAAAGTGAAAACACAAAGAGAGTCTTCCATCAATTGTTTAATTTGTTAAAAACTAATGACAAAAAAATTATCATAATCATTAAAGATGACGATCTATTGGCTAATGATTTAAAGCAACACTACTTCCCGAGTATCTCTTATGAAGAAGTCGTTGATAACAACATCGAATTAAATGATTTGACCGTTAGTTCTCAAAATCATATTCTGAACAAACAAATCATATTTCAAGGAGTAAATATAAGTTTGAACTCTTTGTTAGATAGTGATACAAAACTGCTTGTAGATGGCGAATTGATATGTCGTCTTATGAACAATGATAATTTAGAAATTGGAGAAGATGTGAAAAAGAATTCAGAATATTTTGAGACAAAAGAATATTATGTAAACCGTACATTAGTTGATCAGAATTCAAAGGAGCATTGCGTAAAAAATTACTTACACCTTCCAGAAAATGTAATAATTATTTCGGGATCAGTAGGAATGGGCAAATCTACTTTTCTCAAACATCTAACAGTCCATACAAAACGAAAAATTCCTTCTTTTTGGATCGTTAACGTAAACTTGATAGATTATACTTCTGAATTACAAAATGCCAAAATAGTTTCCAATTCTTTTGATAAACATGATGCTCTGCAGATATTATACAAGGCAGTCTCTCTAGAAGATATGCAATATTCCTTCGATGACCTGTTTGCAATGAAATACAGAGAACAACTCCATGGCTTTAATTTATTAAAAATTGGACTTTTTTTTGATCAACACATCAAGAGAAAGATGATCATATTTGTCGATGGTTTTGACGAACTAAACGGTAGTTGCAAGAAAAAAGCTATCAAGTTGCTACAATTTTTTCAGATTCATAAAGTAAAAAAATTAGTTGTGGTTATTTCACCTGGTAGAGTCTATCAAAATGAGTTACAACAAGAGCTCAAAACTTGCGCGTATTCCTTAAAACCACTATCGTCTGAGGAACAAGAAATATTGCTTAAGAATTTTTGCAAGTCAAAGTTCAATAAATTGCATGCACACAAATCAAGAGTTGTTATCCGAAAGATGTTGATCAAAATTGTTACTCTTACTGATGGCAATTTTTTGAGTGTTCCACTACGAGCAGTTACAGTTGCTAGCTTTTTTAAAGACAATTTTGAACAAATTTATGATTCTTTTTGCGAAAACACTGACAGTTTTCAAGAGTATAAAATTAAAATGTTTATGGCTCATCTTCATGAGAAATTAATAAATAAATTTTTAAAGTCATTTGATTGCTTTGCATTATCAACATTTGGCGAAGATAAAAAAAGTAAATTTATAGAAAATCTGAAAGTGGTATCATTTTTGGATTTGTATGGAGAAAACCATGGTCTAAATGAAGCGGGTGCTTCTAGTTCGGAGTTAAAGAGTGAGATCGCGAAAATAAATAAAATATTTAAATTTTTTAGTTATGACATTCTAGATAAACAAGGAAACTTTCTTAATTTGTTTTATAAACAATATTTTGCTGCGTGGTATATTTGTGATAGAATAAAACTGATGAATTTGGATGAATTTAAAAAATACTTTATAGGAGATATAATTAAAGAGAACAAACATGTCGAAGTTAACTATATTCTTAGTTCCAGAGAAAAAATTAATAAATTTTTTGGTTGGAATGATAAAGAGCAGAAAATACAAATTATTTTTGAGTATATTGAGAAACAAGATTATTTGAGGGAACCTAATATGTCGCTGCTGGTTTGGATCGAGCATTTAGAGTCTCTACATGAAAAATTTAAAAACTCAAGAATTTTAGATGTGTCGAATGAAGTGGAAAGAAATAAATTATTACTTGCTTGCGCTGAAATGCAATACATGAATCTAATGAATTATATTGCAGAAAAAATGAATAAGGAGGAGTTAAGAGACGCTATTATTATATTTTCAAATTCATTAATGGATGGTCGAATAAATGATCGCGTGGAAGTTCTTCTAATTCTAATGAAAAGATACGCAGTTGACAATTCTGATGATATATTGCAAGCTCACATATTTAAAGAACAAACCAGAAACATATTGAAAAAATGTTTGCGCTTGACCATTGTGAATAGTAAACCATTCGTAGATGTTTTTGGGAAACAAAAGTTGCCTTTGATTGAAGCCATTAAGGCAAATGCACCAGCAGATGCAATTGAAATTTTACTACACGAAACTAATTTCAATATTGATAAATGGATTGACGATTTTGATAATTATTTTCATAAAAATTTTCTCCAATATGACATCAAAATTTCCAGTTTATTGGTTGAAAAAGGATTTGATTTATGGAGATGTCTGAATGTTTACTTGAATAAATTCATAGAAGTCAATCAGTTCATTCAACATCATGATTCACTTTATGGTGTCTGCAAAAAAGATTTTATATCTTGCATATGCAATAATTGCTTTCATGATCAATTTTCTAACTTATTCAGTAAAATTGAAGTGTTCCTAAAGAGTGGCTCTGGATTCAATATTAAAATGGGTCAAAATACAACTTTGCAGTATGCAGAACAAATGCATTTTATATATTTGTTTATAAAAAAAATATACAAAAATAATTTTGAAAATAATTACGATGTGATGAGTGGAATTCTTCAATTGTTAATCAGAGACGCGAGGAGAAGCTCTGATGTCAATAATTATGAACTAGTTATTCAAACAGATGTTATAATGATGTACGTCGGAACCAAAAAAATAGAATTATTTTCTATGTTTTATAAACTAGATGCAATTTGTGATTTATCAAAATATCCAGCTTTTCATAACGTACTTTCTGACAATGAATATTTAAGAAACTTTATGAAAAGAGTTGAATATCTACATGTCGTCCATGGTTACTGCCAGAAGGACGCATTTGATGAAGCTTGTCAGCAAGTTGCAAGGTTTGAACATATTATACGATGGATTTTGGAACAAAACAGCACAAAATTTCAAGAACTGGATGAAGTATTTGCAAAACTTGGTTTTAAAAATATTTGTATAGATAAAGAATTGGAAGATCTGTCATCAAACATTAATACATTTGGAATTCATTTTGTCAATAAAATTTGGTCAATATTAATTCGAGTGGGCCCTCAAAAATTATCGGAAGTTATAAAATATTTGATGACATTATTAAAACAGATTTCAAAAGTGTATAAACTGCTAAAAAACCTGGAAACGTCATACGATGGACTGATGGATGGCATCAAGAACAGAAACTATAAAATTGTAGAATATGTTTTGAATTGTGTAGAACCCGATTTTGTTAAATCAGTAATTCATGGAGAAAATATGAATTGCGGTTCACCTTTGCATTATGCAGCTTCTATAGGAGATGCAAATCTTTGTGAACTTCTTCTACGATTTGGAGCAAACGTCAACTTAAACTCAAATATAGATAACTTGGTTTTAAAAGATCATGTAGAAACTAAAGGCGCAAACATTGATATCGTGAGTAGTGAAAGCATTACAACAAATATAAGTCCAAAAATAAATCCAGATATCATGAACCTAAAAGATAGTGCATCATCATTTGCAAGTTCGGATGTCGAAGCTGCATATGTAAACATTGATAACACGAGTAGTGAAATAATAACAGATTTGCTTAAAACTCAAAACAGCCCAGAAGATGTTGCTCTTATGAAGAACTGCATTAATGTTAAGAAAAAAATGACACCTTTGCATTGCGCAGTTTCCAATGGCCACAAAGAAGTTGTCCAAATTTTGCTGAAAAAATTTGCAAATGTTAAATCTACTAATGCAATGAACGAGACCCCATTGCATATTGCTGCACTAAAAGGATATGAAAAGATTGTGGAAATTTTGTTAAAAGCCGGAGCTCCTATCAAAGTTTGGGATGACAACAATATGACTCCATTGCACTGTGCTGCTTCTAATGGACATGAAAATGTTGTTCGGTTACTATTGGAGAATTTGACCTCAGCTGCTGATAATTCTTCCGCGGAGAGTCCAACACCACATGTTGGTTCTGGACAAAAACCAAAAAATTGGTTTACTGATCGTAAACATTTGACGCCTCTGTATTATGCTGCGAAAAACAGTCATAGAAATGTGGTTAAGATCCTTATAAATGAATATTCCAAAAAGGATTGCGTTAAAGTAAAAAAATCACCAGCCCTTAATCTTATGCTAAAAAGAGATATTTCGATTGTTGTATGCGGTGAAAACATTGCTACACTATTTATGGCGATTATAAATAATGAAAAGGAAGCAGTTCAAATTTTGATAGATAACGGAATCGCCGTTAATATCACCAATGAGCAAAACTGGACGCCTTTGCATGTAGCATCTACCGTTGGCCACAGCGAACTGCTTCAACTTTTGATAGACAAAGCTGCAGAAGTTAATGTGGCAACTGATTTAAAAATTACACCTTTACATTTGGCTGCTCATTATGGTTATAAAAAAATAATCGAGATTTTATTATTAAATGGTGCGGAAGTTAATAGTGTTGCGAGTAATGATTTGACACCATTGGTCATGGCATTTTGTGGAAACCATTTAAAACTGTTGATATCTTATTAGCTCATGGTGCTGACGTCCATTACAGGATCTCCCACGCAAACTTGTATTAGATAATGAAAAGTCTAATTCCTCGGTAAAGAATGTTTGGAAACCGCTTCCTATAACACCATTTCCAAATACTGAAACTTATAGTTTATTGCACTATATGGCTTTTAAAAACCGGTATGAAATGGTGGAAAAACTATTAAACCATGGAGCTAATATCAACGACTTGTCGCCCAAAGAATGTCTAACTCCACTACACATCTCTTCACTTTTTAATAATGATAATATTACGAAATTGCTTTTACAAAAAGGTGCTAAGTATAATATAAAAAATGCGAGAGGTAAAACACCACTCGATCTTGCAAGGGCTGAATCTGGAAGTGGAAAATGGCTCAAATCTATTAACCAGTTGTTCCAAGCTGTGCGATGTGGTGATGTTACCAAAATTGAACCTTTACTGGAAAATTGGAGCGAGAATTCATTGGGAATAATTTTGAATGCTAGGAACTCTGAAGATAAAACTATTGTATTCTA